GAGGGCAGGCGCGGTACAGGCTGCCTAGTCCTTGGGGTTTTCCAAGACCGACCAGATGAAGCTCTGAGCAACGTGAACTGGCCTCAGACCTGACCCTGCCACGAGCAGCAGGACGGAGTAGAGACCTCCTGGGGTCCCTTCCCACCTGAATGATTTGATTTCTACAGATGGTTGCACAGCGCAAGTATGTCAGTCTTCAGACCTCTGCACCATGCTCTTTTGCATATTCGACACATGCCATTAAATTAATGGCATTGTTGTTCCATTTGATGCAGAACTAAATAGAGGTCAGGATTATTAGATTATTACTAATTTTCCTTAGACTTCGAAGGGGGTCATGCCTTTTTCATAAAACTCTCAGAGTTCTGCATTTTCAAGCAGAAAGGGAGTAAAACTGCCATTAACAACCTTTCTCCCTCAGAGGTCTAAAGCTCCTGCATCCAGTACCAACACGTGGGCTTTTCCCAGGGCCAAATACCGATCCCATCCAGGGCAATGGAAAGTGGTGCTTTTCCCCCTCCCCTTCTTCCATCCATAACCATGTGCTCCCTTATTCCTCCCCATGTAGCTGCATCGGCATCAACCTGACTACAGACAGCACCCAGCTGAAACTGCTCCATGAAAAGCACCCAGGAGTTCTTGCACAACTTTTTATTTTTCCTTTATTTTGTGTGAAAATTGTACTTTCCTATCTTTTGCAGAAGTGTTAAGCACATTGTACTGAAATGAATGCTAAATGTGTAATTTATCAATTACTCAAGCCGCAATGCTGTACTCGTGCCGATGCATTTTCAAGCTCTTTTGTTGCTACAGTTAGCGTGAGTAAAACCTCCAGGAAGAGGTTATTTTTCAATTGAAAAAAAGAAAAGTTCGAGTCGAGCGGCACTCGGTGTCTTCAGGCAGTGCCCAAAGCGAACCCGCTTCCCCCATTTTATACGGAGACCGCTTTTCGGAAGACCACGGAGGACGAGCGCAGGAGGCGCAACCCCGGCTGCCCGCGCCGCACAACCGCGCGTACCCACGGGGGGCCGCTCTCCTCACGCGCG